AATATCGAGAGTAATTATACTAACACTTCAAAAAGATACAAAACTAGCTCAAGAGCTTATTGATAAAAAAAAGGAGAGTGATATAAATCTACATGTACATGGCCAAGCTTTCACAACTACTCAAAGCAGTAAGGACTCACAGCTAGCAGTAAAACTCATTAATGATCTTGAAGTACGAAATGATGTCCAATCATTGTGTTATATACCACTAGTCTGTTCCATGGTCATCTTAGTTTATTGTAAGGAAGGAGGACACTTACCAACAACACTCACTCAACTGTTTGAGAACTTTATTCTACAAACTATCAGAAGACATGTTAAAAGGCATGGCATGAACCCACATACTTTATGTACTCTTTCTTCATTACCATCAAAATTAGCTAAACCTTTACAAGAGATGTGTCAACTAGCTTATACTAACCTGGCTAATACAACAATGACATTCTCTTCACATCAACTACAGTCACTGAGTGAGGCAGTCAAAGAAGACTATCTTGGTTTGATGACAACATTCACAGAATATGATGAGGAGAAGTATCAGTTCCTTCACTTGAGTATACAGGAATTTCTAGCTGCATGGTGGATAGCTAAGCATGAAAAGACAGAGGTAGTGTTTAAGGATCACTTTGATGATGATCACTTTCGAATGTGTCTGAGGTTTGTGGCAGGTCTAACTCACCTTGGACATGAAAGCTATCAACAGTATTTTAATAAACAACAACTTGACTTACAGTGTAAGAGAAAACCATTAATTGGATTTGAGACTTGTTATCTGTCTTATTTCTATCAGAATCCTGAGATTAGATTACAAGACTATATAAGTGATCACGCTAAATCTGATGATTTTGACAATGTTCCCATTCTTCTTTTTCAACTTCTCTATGAATCACAGAACACAACATTATGTCAAGTATTAGCACAATCCATCAACAACCATTCACTGTGTCTGGATAGAGTATCATTATCATTGTTTGACTGGTTGTGCCTCAGTTATTGTATAAACAATTCCAACACAACATGGAATCACTTGCACCTGGGGACTGTATATAACGAAATGCTATCAGTCTTCACTGCTGGACTAACCAATAGCTCACTGCAGACCCAGTGTAAGAGACTGGAGGTAAAGTTGTTTAAACCCACTGATGAATTAATACACAAATCATTAGAACTACCACTTCTATACAATATTCAGGAGTACTACTGTGAATTAGCTGGCGATCAATATGTTCCCTATCTTGTGTTTTTACAGTTCTTTAATCTTCCTCAATTGAAGATACTGCACTTAGTAATGTGCACTTCTACTAAACCAACAGTTGACAATACATGCACAGACAAGTGCACTGAACTTGAGAAATGTATAGAAATAAATTCAACACTACAAGAAATGAAGATTAAATATAGTGAAAAAAAGAAAACAACAAGTACCATTATCAGTGTCATTAGAGGAGTAACAAGAAATAAAACAATAAAATTATTAACACTACATGTTGATGCTTATCCTGCTCCTCTACCTGATGGAGTAATAGAACAGTTACTAAAGGAAAACAAAACATTACAAGCTCTTTCACTAGACATACCTAATAAACTCCTACCATCATCATTGAATTTAGTAGAGGTGAACATACCATCGGCAGCTCTAGAGATCATAGGAAGTAGTAAACTGATGACATCACTCCTTCAATGTAGTAATAAAAGATTACATAGTCTGATACTACATGGGCCATACGCACCACATTTTCTATTTCTCTCTTATCCCAGTCTACATACACTTACTTTACCACTAGACACAGCTCAGAGTGCTGTTGAACTATTTACTATTCTACAAACCAATACTACACTTAAAGTTCTGAGTGTGGAGATAAAGGATCATACAGTATGTACCAGCAGTATGGGTACTAGTCTACAAGACATGCTAACACAAAACCGAACACTGCAATACCTTGAAATTCTGTATGACAGGTGTAATCGCACTGCCATTCCCATGTCACTCCTGTGTGTTCTATTAACTGGGGTCAGACACAATACCAGTCTACAGTTGAGTATTCCATTCCACTGAATGAAGAGATGAATATTTTATAAAAAAGATCTCACAGAACTTTAAGTACATGTATGCAAATCAAACAAACAGTATTTGAAAGGGAAAAACAAGTGGCACTTTTTGTATACTAACTCTAACATGTTACAGCCACATACAACCATCAAACTGCTGTGGATAGTGGGTAGAGAGATACTACTAATGGGTCATTTCAACGTAACAGGATAGAGTTAGCATTACATTCATATGAAGCCACTTTCATCGATCCATCACTGAAATACATTGATGTAAAATTTCTGTTCTCCTGAAAAATACTCTGCTCAAAGGTCAAAAAAGACATTAATAATTGATAGACACAGAAAAGAATAACCGGACAAACCACTACCAATACAATAGTGGAGTGTATTCTATTTTTTGAAAAAATAAATTAATTTGGACAATAATTATGCCAGTACACCTACATGTAGTTCTAGTTCACAGTACATTGTAATTAAAAATTTCTTTCTAAACAAAGAAGGATGCCAACTATTCCTGTCAATTTGCAGTATGCAGTGACACTAACACATAAAATTACTTACAAATTATTTTAAAAAATTACAAATTATTAAAAAGTTTTCAGCTACATTAACAGTTCAAACACAAGGAAACACAGACACACTTTATTTTAGTTTTATACAGAAATACAAACATTAACATCAGACTAAAATGTTTCTACTTTATCATTTAATGCCCCTCATTATTCGTCTGCAATGTTGACTCTTTATTTCAGCTAGTGCTGTCTCAAGACTGTTAGTCAAATGAATGAGATTAACAGGATCAGTCTCTATTGTATGAACACTAGGAACACCTAATGAAACAAAAAATTAAAATTGAAAGGAGGAAATAAGAATGCAATAACTTTTTGTTGTGATATTACTATACCATTAAGATTAAACTAGTAACATACATGCATAACATAGACATAAATACATTTAACATACAAAGATAATAGTATACATGCAACAGAAAGTGAAAGTAACACTGGCACAAGGTACTACACATACTTCACTGTACCCATAGCCACCACATAAACAATAAACAAAGATTTTGGTTTAGACTTTTCATGTACATTAGGTTATCATTAATTATTATTGGTATAATTGATGAAATACCCTGTGTTATAGGCCATTTTTGTTCATTTGAAAATTTTACATACACAATATACAATGTAAAATGTGTGAAAACGTGCATCAATATGGCTTCAAATTTTTATCATAACTAAATTTTGTCAATATTATTGTCAAAATGTTATTATTAATGAACATGTACTACATGCATACATGTACATGTACATGTGTATATTTACAGTATGCCATGTTCACATTATCACATAACATATTATACAAGCCATGGTTTTGAGGTGTGTATCAGTATAGTGTAAGACCTCCGCCCCTCAATGTCTACCCTCGGCTTCACCTCAGGCAAACATTTTGGGGTTCAGGTCTTACATTACTGATACACTCCTCCAAACCATGATTTATTGGGGCGAGCATGGGTGAGCACCACTAAGACGATCAGCGTTTGTTTGTTTGTCTGTCTGTCTGTACATGTACGTATTCCGTATCTCCTCTATATATCTGTGATAGCACATGCATTAGCAATGCAATAGATTCTAAATTTCAATATTTCCACTGAAAGTTGGAGTGGCCACAGTAAAATAAAATGGTGATCAACATACGGGAAGAAGTCATGTGAGTCATGAGCTTTCTAGCAACAAGATAGGGCAAACACAGCTTTCAAAGACTTTCCAACAGTTTAAGAAGGGGAAAGATGCAATAAAGTAACTATGAAATTCCTTTTTGTTGACATAATAGCAAAAGTAAACTGTAAAAGTCAAGCAAATGTCAGTTTTTGACTGACTTGACTAAAGTGGCAATCTTTCTACTGTATTCTACATCAGATGAAGAATACAGTAGAAAGATTGCCAGCTGCTTTAACTTTAAGAGCTTTTTACACTAACTTGCAAATGCCATTAGTCTTTTTACACTGACTTGCAAAGCTCTTAAAGTTAAAGCAACAGGCTCTTTTAGACAACGAAGATTTTTAAGTAATTTTATTTCAAAAACCTCATTTCAAAGATATAGAATATAAGCTGCAATCAATAAAAAGAGTAGGCTAAACTCAACCAAAGGTAAAAGTTGATCCAGTGACACAACTACATGTAATAACTTGGTTTTGTTCATTTTTGTCATTGACAACTTGAAATGAAGTATTAAAATTGTAATAGCTTATTATTTTCACATACATGTAAATTCACAAATCTCGCTCGTACTCGCCCCATAATGTTTTTAACATCATCCTAGTGTAATGCATGTATTGATGTACATACATGTATCTGTACCTTCCTCCTCAGCATGTAGTCTCAGTAGTATTGATGGTTGTACTTGTCGTTCCAGTGATCTAGAGCTCAGTTGTGCCTCCAGTCTCCACTCCAGGTCAGTGTAGTGAGGAAGATCAAGGGACATACTCATTAGGAGGGACCTTATCTCAGAACTGTTCTCCTCATATAAAAAGAGGATACAATATTCAATTAATTAGAAGAGAATTAAAACAGCACACTACATGTATAATAGTCAGGGTTTCTGTTCAGATTTAGTATGTTAAATTGAATGGTTAAAATTAAAAATCAAGCATTAGTCAACATGTACCGTATAAGATGAAATGTTGATGGGAATTTTATATTGGCAGATTGACGGATTTATATGAAAACGCCAAAATAAAATCCGCAAGTAATATTTCCATTTATGAGTGTGACCACACCCACATTAATTTTAGTAAAAAATTTAGTTAAAAGCATGGTTAAAAGTCGCTAGCTAACATGGCTTTACTATGTTTCCTTAAGCCAGTCTCTAAACCAGGTGATAAAGAACACAATCTTCCAGAAAAGGTACTGTCTTTCTCTGATAATATGTTGTCCATGAACCATACCTGCTTAAGTAAAACCCCACCTAAGGGTGGTGATATAATTAAATTGTTAGAAATCGCCAATAAGCTAGCCATCACAAAACCGCCAAAAAACTCCCGCCAACAAATCCTCTTATACAGTATTGACTTGTTTTTAATGCTCATAACTTGAAACATTAATCAGAATCAGCTCAAACTTCTACACAACATAAGAACATGCATACAATGTATGCATTAGAAAATGTAATAAAACTGTTACTCATGGTTACCTGGTAGAAATCCTGGTACATCAAAAGGTTGTCAGTGGAATACAAGAAGGATCAACGAACCAAACAAACCGAGCACTTTTAACTGATAAATTAATATCTAAACAACCTATTAATAATAATAATAATAATAATAATTAATAATAATAATTCGTTATTTTTAATAATAATAATAATAATAATAATAATAATAAACTTGGTACTAAATACATGTACATGTAAGTCATTTATAAACCCTAAATCAAGCAATGGATACAAGTACAAGAAAGTGCATGTCTCTGTTATAAAGTGTCCTTTATGTGAAGATTACTTATACAGTAAGGAATTTACATGTAGTTGGTACACTAAGTGCTGTCAGTTAAATGGAGGTGTACACAATAGAGTGTCCATTAAAAAAGGCTATACTGTACATGTACATGGTAGGAGTGCAATACTAACAACTGACCTGCTTTTTGATTGGGCTGATTACCAACCACACCCACTGTCTGTCCATTCTACCTGGCAAATCCTACTACTACATGTGCACATGTACATGTATATTCATAGCACAGTTGGGCATTATTTAGAAGACCTCTTCCTCGTCTACCACAGCTTTGATGATGCAAGACATATGGCATAAGGAGTATCAGATGAAGGAGGGATGATGAGATTAAGA